TAACCTCTTGCGCCCTAGTGGCTTTCTTGCCTTTGATCTTTAAAAGAGTTAAATGCAATGTTAATCGTTTTCTTTTGTCTTCTTAACCACTGTTCTTTCATTGTTCTCTCCCTTTAATAATGTTTTCTTAATATTTTCTTACACTCCTTGAATCTTAGGCCCTATACGAGAATTGTCATTTAATTGACAGCAATTTTCTTAATGTATCGGGTGTTCCTAGTAGGGCGTTTTTCTGGGCAATTTGTATGTTGATGTTACCTTGGACACTGTTGGTAAAATTGTCCATTCCTTTTCTCACGCGGCCCAGAGTTCCAATTAATATTGGTGCAGTTTCAGTCTTCATTGTCCACATCTTGTTAATCTCAATTTTTGTATTTGGACAATTTCTCGATAATTTTCATGGAGGTGTTTCTCTCATATGGTACTGCTCTGTCAATAAGCATACACTTCCTGAAGTTTCTAAAACCATATTTCTACAAAAACATCTTTTTTGGCTGATTCTATTAAAAAAAAAGCACATTATGATAGCACTCACCACAGAATTAAAAGGCAACTTCTAATGCCATATAATGGGAAAAGATCAATGAACATGTCGGCCAAATTAATAAATTTGTTTTATATAATCTCAAATGCTTTTATTTAGTATTCAAAATTACCAAAAAAATTTGCTTTTAAATAACTTCCTGGCATTTGTTCTGATTTCTTTCAAATAAACATTTGAGATAAAATATTGTCATTATTCTGTGAGTCGTTTGAATTAGTGTTTTCATTTTGGCTGGTTTCTCTTCAAAATATTTCAGTCGGTACAATCTCCCATGTTGCTTGAAATTTTTCACATTGGAGTTTCTTCAGCGGCCAACCTTGTCGTTTACCATGTTCGATCCTTAATTTGGAAATTAAGGTCTGAATTTTTTTTAGATAAAACACTTCAGAACCCTTTTCTGCACTGACGTCTGCTTACCCATGGATTGTGAGCTAGATGGGAAAGTACACTGACCAACATATTTTGTATAATAAAAATGAAGATGAGAATGCTAGTCTAAAAGAAATATTGAAGAATAACAATACTTTATCTCAGAAAGCCTCTGAGAAAAAATTTAGGCATTTGAGATTTTAGAATTAAACTGATATGTCCCGGAAAGGGATATATTTGATCGAAGTAGCTAAGGGGTTCTGGCTACTGTAACCAAGTAGTACACAGTAGCAGTAATCGACCAGTGTTTGTCGTAGTCGCAGGTAATAGGTGTAGACCAATAGGATAGCCAATGGCGTAGTCCAATGGGTGTCGTCATAGACTTAAACTCTGTCCGTCTGTATTTATGATGGACACCAGCTAATCATATCCCAGTGAGGGGGAACTCAGTGTATGCATATTCCATTATATCATAAACAAAAAGATGTAAGTTTCCACTGTCAAATACAATCAGATGCCAAAAGAATGATCTTTTCCCAATTGTTTGCAAAAGATGTTCAATGCAGTTTATAGGATTGTGTTTTTATTTTTTTTTAAATATTTGTTTTAAAAAATGTAAAAGAATTCTGTAAAGAAATGATTAATTTTATGAAAATATATTTCAAGCTTGATTGAAAATAAATATCTGATGTTTGTTTAAAGAAGGTTTGATGAAAATCTGCCTCAACGGACATCTTCGTATGAAGCTGAGAATAAAACCTATCAAAGAAATGACAGGTGGCTTTTATGAATTTAAAAGACAATTTCTGGCATTTACAAATATTCAATGCATCATGATAGACAGTTCAAATATTCTTCATTGGGTGCCATGGCAGCATTTGAGAAATTCTTGCAACCTTCAACTTGCCAAGTCACATCCACCACTCTCGCTTCACTGTGACTCCTGCTCACAGACCCTTCATGCGTAGGCTGGGCGTTCACAGCCATCTCCACGACCACCACCAGAAGGGAGAGAAAGGGAATAAGGAGAGAGGATGACGATCCCGATGGTCAGATGGAGACGAGTGCTGGCTACTACTACCAGTATCCACCTGACGTAAATAAAATTCTAAATTTTATTTCTGTCTTAATTTAAGAGATGAGGATTTAATAGCCATTATCGTCCGTAGGTATGTTACAACATGAAACATTGTCTCTGTTGGGCCGGTCACGTGTCCCGAATGCGTCCTACTCGACCCCCACATGTCATCCTGTTTGGAGAACTCGCCAGCGGCAAGAAGCTACAAATACGCCCAAAACAGTGCTACAAGGATCAGTTGAATATATCCCTAACACAGGCGAACATCGACACAGGGACCCGGGAAACCGGTGCTGCAATTTTGTCCTTCATGGAACAAAGACTTTCGAGTGCAACCATCAACATGAAGAGTATCTGTGATGTGCTGTCAGGTGGGCCTGATTTGCCAAGCCGCGTCCACCAACTTTGTGAATCCTGCTCTCGACTCTTCAGGAGTAGGCTGGGCCTTCGCGGCCATCTCTACCACCAGAGTGGAGAAAGGGGGATAAGTAGAACAGATGACGATTCAAATGCTCGGATGCAAGCGGGTGCCAACTACCAGCAATACATTTTATCTCGAGTTGGCTTTTCATGCTTTGCTGGAATTTCTCTGTGGTATAAAACTCTTTAGCCGTGATCGGGGTATTAGCTTTTCAGGGAGTATTTATGTGGAAGGCTGAGAGAGGAATTTCCGTCATATAAGATCTGAAACAGTCCCAGTCGGCTTTCGTGTACCGAAAAATAGTTCTATGGAAAAGCACACTCTTTTGATTTGACATCAACTGACGTGTGAATCATCTGAATTGCCTAGCCAGGTGCGGGTGTGGATAAATGTTCAGTGATAGATTCTTAAGGGCAGGACGTGAGGTAGGGGGTTAAAGGGGTTTGTCTGATGTCCTGTTGCGACCCTTAATGATCTCCGTTAGCTCTTAGGCAACAGGTTAGTTTTACTAGTATCTAACTTCTTCATCAGTTTTCTCTGAGTTGACTACCTATTCTTTGTAATAAATATTGAAGTCACTACAAATATGAAAGCAAGCTGAGGGATTATCAGTGAGGATATTATTAATCGCCCCACCTCTTTGGTCAAACATTACAGATCAGTCATCATGATAGAGGGTGAAGATGAATGTGATACAGTATACAAGTAGCCCTTGGTGGCATATTATGCGGGTTATCAGGGTCCTCGATTTAGTGTTTTCTGTCACGTGGGAACCCTTTCTTAATATAGTCCATAGCCGTGGCTATTCCAATGGCCATGTTTTTTATATTAGGGTCAATATTGGCGGCCACAATCTTAACAACATAAGATACGCAGATGACACAGTACTAATAGCAGGCACATAAGGTAGTTAAGGAGAGCAAGAAGAAGGGACTAAGCCTAAACTTAAAAAAAAACCCCAAAAACAAACAGAATACATGGTCTTTATTTACATTATTCGGACTATTGTCCTCATCTTTGTCGCCATATTTATCACAACGTTTTGGCCGTTGTACGCTCTAGCCTTCTTCAGGTGGTTGGAATTTTGAACTGAACCTTTTATTTCGCTCACTGGGGTAGACTGTTCTAGTTCCACGTGCCATCTTTGATGGATGTCAGTTATCAGTTATATTTGCTAATTTCCCTCTGAAAGTTTTCCACTGCCTTAACCGGGTATTGAACTCACACTCTTTGGGTCCTGTCACTGGATCTAACCAACGCCTTTATCCGTGTGCCATGTGTCCTTGAGGACATCTGGATATGAATTTCTGGGTATTATAAACCATTTTTACTCATATTGCAATTTTGCTGTTATCATTGCATATTTTTACCAGAGCTCATATTGCAACTTTGTTATCATTGCTTTTCTCTGGCACTCCTTATTACTGGTTCCCATATTGTATTTATTTCTATGCTTGGTCGGCTCAGGAGATTTTTGTGGCCTAGCATATGTGCTGATTTCTTAAGTTTACATGGTCATCAGTAAAAGGATGAGCTTGAAATGCAATTTACAGGTTCGGGGACACTAAAACCAAGCAGGTGCAGAGGTTTAAATACCTGGGAAATGACAGAGGACAGTAAATGTGACACTGAGATCCGAAGACGTATTGGGATGGCCAAGGACACATTCCAAAAGCTAGGCCGAGTATTACAAGACAAGAAGATTTCTTTGGTAACAAAGAAAAAAAGCCTACTGAGCTGTTATGTGACATCTGTCCTCCGTTATGGCACGAATGTTTGACGGTCTCCTCAAAGATGAAGAAGAGACTCGAGGCAACGGAGGTATGGTTCTACAGAAGGATTCTGAGGATATCATAGACCGAGCGTGTGAGCAACGATGAGGTTTTGGAGAGGATGCAAACAAGGAGGAAGCTTATACTTAATATCAGGAAGAGGCAGCTGAATTTTCTAGGACACGTAATGAGAAAGGAAGGCTTGGAGAATCTGATACTCACAGGTCGAATAAAGGGAAAGAGAGACAAGGGAAAGCAAAGCATGACATACCTGGCGGGCTTAAGCAAGTGGATGGCAGAACATGGCCTGGTAGAAATAGCAAAGGGAGAAAACGTATTGAGAGCTACAAGGGATGGGAGAAGTGGAGAGCCATGATCGCCTACATCCTGGATGGATATGACACATAAAAGAAAGAAGCTCAGGATTGTGAGTTCCTGCAACCTGACGATGAAAGAACCAATTTAGGAGAAGGAGAAGCCTGAATTTAAAACAATTTTTTTAGTGGTTCAATTCCATTTTGTAGAAGAACTACTTACTACAGAAACCACAACATCAATGTCAAGCATGGCGTCAGGCTGTCATGTTATTTTTCGCAGGGGGAGAAGTCTAGAGGGGTGAGCTTCGGGGGAGCGAGAATAGTCTTCAGTAGCACTAAACAGGTCGGGTTTACATGTATAGCCTTTTTGATTTTCTCCTGACATTAGCTGAATAAAGGTTGGTGGGGGAAGTTTTGTTTCCGCAACAGAGCATTTCAAGAAGAAGTTGCAGGTGTACTAACGTTCAGTCATGTGGGAAATGGAATTGGGAAGATGAAATTAAATCTGCTGAGGAGAAAGAAAGAAAAAGAAAGAAAGAAAGAAAGAAAGAAAGAATATAAAAAGAAGGAAAAGTAAGAAGGAAGAAACAAAAAGAAAAAAGAATACTAAGAAAGGAAAGAGGGGGGAAAAGGAAAGAAAAACGAAGGAAGGAAGGAAGGAAGGAAGGAAGGAAGGAAGGAAGGAAAAGAAAAGAAACAAAGGAAGAAAGAACATAAAAATGAGAAAGAATAAGGAAGGAAGAAAGAAAAGAAAAGAAAGAAAAAAGAAAGAAAGAAAAAGAATGAAATAGAGAAAGAAAGGATATAAGAAGAAAGGAAGGAAAATAAAGAAAGATAGGATATTAAAAAGGGGAGGAAAAAGAAAAATGTAAGAAAGAAAGTAAAAGAAAAAAGAATGTAAAAAAGAAAGAAAGGATATAAAAAGAAGAAAGAAAGAAAGAAAGAAAGAATATAAAATGGAAGCACAGGAAGGAAGGAAGGAAGGAAGGAAGGAAAAGAAAGAAAGAAAAAAGGAAAGAAAGAAAGAAAGAAAGAAAGAAAGAAAGAAAGAAGGAAACTGTGCAAAGAAAAAAGAAAAAGTTTGGAAATGAAGGTGCTAAGAAGAAAGAAAGTAAGAAGGAAATAAGAAAAAAAAAGAAATGCTGGAAAAGAAAGAAAGAAAGAAAAAAGAATGAAAGCAATAAAGAAAGAAATGTTGGAAAAGAAAGAAAGAAAGAAAGAAGTGTTTTAAAAGAAAAGGAATGAAAGACAGAAAAAAAATAAATGCTGCAAAAAAAGAAAGAAAGAAGGAAAGAAAGAAGGAAATGCTGCAAAAGAAAAATAATGAAAGAAATAAATAAGGAAATACTGGAAAAGAAAGGAAGAAAGAAAGAAAGAAAGAAAGAAAGAAAAGCAAAAGAAAAAGGAATGATACAAAGAAAAAGGAAAGAAAAAGATTGGAAATGAAGGTGCTAAAAAGAAAGAAAATAAGAAGGAAAGAAGAAAAGAAAGAAATACCGCTAAAGAAAGAAAGAAAGAAAGAAAGAAAGAAAGAAAGAAAGAAATTCTTCCAAAAAAGAAGTGAAGAGTTTAAAATAAAGATATTCAGTAAAAGAAAGAAAGATATTCAGTAAAAGAAAAAGAAATTCAGTAAAAGAAAGAAAGAAAGAAATGAATTTTTTTTTTTTTTTTGGCAATGTGCTTCACCCTGTACAAGGCTCGGGAGCCACTCAAGGTATAAAGGTTACAGAGTAAGTAGCACAGAATAGTTCCTTTCTAGAATGGAGAGATTTATACCTGCACCCCACAAAAAAGAAATTCCAACAAAAGCGAAACACACAGCCCTTGTTCACGCCCGAATGTACTGCAGACATATCTCATGGTAACGGCTACTTCAATATCTAACACAAGGTTCAATGTAGCTTAACTTGTACTTCACTCATCGTCTATGAGAGAGGAGTTGCAGAGAAAAGACAATAATTTATCACCCACAAGGGTTTAGAGAGGCTTCAGGACTCTATTGAAACTGGAAAATGAGGACTGGGCAGTTCTTAGCCAAATTTGACAGCAGTACCAAGGTAGCGGGTAACACGAGGAGTCAGGTACTTACTGGAGCAGAACAGGGAACCAAACTTTTTTTCCTGCAGCTTTAGCGATGTCTCAACTGCAAAAGCTCCACTCGAGGCCTGCATTGAGTCTGAGTCCCAATAGTTGCTCATGGTATACGGCCTCTCTATAGGCCCACCCATCCATCATGAGTGATGTTAATTCAGTGTCCGATCAGCAATGATGGAATGTAATGAGTTTCACTTTCAAGGCATTGAATGTATTCCCCCGCCACCCAGCAGTTCCCCCGCCACTGAGATTTTAGGGCTAGATTGGAGGAGAGATAAGCTGTCAATCTCTGGTCATTGAGAGTTTTGGAGGTGTACCCACATATCATCAGAATTCACAAATGATCAGTATACACATTTACGCAGAAACATTTATATAAAGTAAAAAGAAGGTTGGAGGCATGGTGGAGTAATGGATAGCGGTTCGGATTGAGGAATCGGAGAGCCGAGTTCGAATTCCAGTCGAATCCATTACATTCACTTACGTGCTTATACCCTTAAGAAAGGCATGAATCAGCTATGGGTAAAATGCAGGACAGACCGTGTTTTATAGCCTTGGATGGCAACTGGTCTACCGCAGAAAGAAATGGCAACCTACTGCGGAAAAAAAAATCTGCCTCATCAGTCATGTATCAAAAGATACATGATCGCCAAAGCGTTTATCACGCATGACACATAACTGACTGATATTCACTTACGTGCTAATACCCTTGGGAAAGGTATGAGTCCTTGTCTTCTCTTCCCTCAGCTATAGGTAAATAGCAAGACAGACCAGGTTCTATAGCCTTGGATGACAACTGGTCTACCACATAAAGAAATGGCAACCAAGTGCGGGAAAAATCTGCTTCGTCAGTCATGTATTGAAAGATATATGATCGCCTATGCGTGTATCGTGCATGACACATAACTGACTGAAAAAGAAGGTTGGTTCAAGAAGTGACCCATGGGAGGATGCCTGTAGTGTCTGCTACAACCCCAGAGGACTGGTTATTAACAGCTACCTCCAGGAAGGACTTTATTATAGATAAGGACCTTCCAGTGGTTCCATAGCTAGAGAGCTTAAGCAGCAGTCATTTGTGCCGCACATTGTCAAAGTATTTAAATCTATTTGTTCTGTCGTGTCTCACTGTTTTTGTGAGTAACGGAAATTAAGACATCAGCAGTGGATTGGGTTGATCCAAACTTGGACTACCTGTCGCTGAAGAGGATCCTCTTATTTAGGTGATCAACAACCTTGCTGTTGTTTATAGCCTCAAAAAGCTTCCTAATAGCACTGATGAAACTGATGGGTCTATACTCTCATGTTCTTGAAAACTGGGTATACACATGGCACTTGGGGAGGATTTTATCAAAATTCGTTAAGATTGAGGATAGTTGTGGATTGATATTCTTCAGGACAACCACTGAGATTTAGTCTGAGCCAGTAGTCAATTTGATAAGTGTCTAGACTTGCCAGCCTGTAATAAAAATACTACTCAATTATCAAGTTGAAGAGTAAGCGTTCTCAAAGCAAATTTGTGGCTTTCACAACACAAAGAAAGAAAATCACTTGTAACGCGTCAGGAAAATAACTCACGAACGCCGTAGCCAAAACTGCCTGAATTTTCTTTTTCCTCACAGAATACACGCGACGCGCTGTCGCTTGGATTGACGAGGTAAGTCGCTATAAGAGTTTTGCTGACGACTTTTTGGCAATCCCTCCCCGGCAGATCGCACACAAAACACGAACTTTTTTCCGGGGTACTTGATTATCTCGTTCACTACAAAAGTATTTCCAAACAGGTAGCTCCCTGAAGGAAGTTGTTAATGGCCTGTCCTCCAAGGCCCAAGGAATAAATGCAGGTAGCTCCAAGGTTTGTTCAGAGAGCATTATCTTCTGAGATCTATCCATGAGGAAGGACTTTATTATGTAGAAGACTCTTCTAGTGATTCCATAGCTAGAGAGTTTGAGAAGCAGCCCTTTGTGTCACATCTTATCAAACGTCTTTGAAATATTTAATGCTGGGGTCCTTGATATGTATTTGTTGTCTAGTGTCTTACTGATTCTGCAGATAATGGTAGCTAGGATATCAGCAGTGGATCAGGCTGATTGAAACTTGTATTGCTTGTCATTCAATAGGTTCTTAGGTGCTCAACAACCTGCTTGTTGATTATAACCTCAAAAGCATTGCTAATGACACTGAGGAGATTGATGGGTCTATACTAAAAGGGGGATGAGTGCTTGTTTGCGTTCTTGAAAACTGGGCAAAGGCTTGACACTTTCCACAATCTTAAGAAGGTTTGGTTTAGTTTGGTCTGTTTTACAGCATATCAACCTCAATGGGTAATTTAATGTTGACAAGGTTTTTGTTGCTGGTAATATTTTTTTAAAATAAATTGCTGGTAATTTTTCCAAAAATGCATTTTGCTGATAATATTTTTCTTTTTCAAAAATTTATTTTGCTGATAATATTTTTCTTTTTCAAAAATGTATTTTGCTGATATTTTTCTTTTTCAAAAATGTATTTTGCTGATAATACTTTTCTTTTTTAAAAATTGTATTTTGCTGATAATATTTTTCTTTTTTAAAATGTATTTTGCTGATAATATTATTCTTTTTCAAAAATTTATTTTGCTGATAATATTTTTCTTTTACAAAAATTTATTTTGCTGATAATATGTTTCTTTTTCAAAAATCTATTTTGCTGATAATATTTTTTCAAAAACGTATTTTGCTGATAATATTTTTCTTTTTCAAAAATGTACTGCTGGTAATAATATATTTCTGGTAATAATTTTATTTGTTCAAAAATGTATTGTTGGTAATATTTTTTCCAAAAATTTATTGCTGATATTAAAACATATATTTACACTTTCATAGTTTTTTGACACCAATTTAGGGATTAACTGTTTGCCCATTGTTGGGAACCTAACAGGTGCTACCACTCCAAGTCAAGGTGAACCTGTGAACACCAGCAATTAAAAGGTAGTTACAAACTCCTCGAAACCTCCTGATCAGAGGCCTTGATGTCAGATGTAGTTTATCGGCTTAGCCAAGACGTAGTATTGGGAAGGATTTCTCCTTCAAACAGAAAGGAAAATAAAGGGTATAAAGAAAATAAAAAAAGAAAGAAAGGAAAAAGAAAGAAAGGAATATAGAATGAGAAAAAAATGAAAGAATGAAGCAAGGAAGGAAAGGAAGATAGAGAGAGTAAGGCAAAATGTAAGAAAGAAAAAAGAAAGAAAGAAGTAAAGGAAAAGAGGGGGAATAAATTAAAATGGAAGAAAGAAAGAAAAAAGAAAGAAAGAAAAAAGAAAGAAAGAAGAAAGGAATGAAGTAAAGGAAGAAAGAGGGAATAAATTAAAATGAAAGAAAGAAAGAATGAAAAAGATAGAAAGATGTAAAGAGAGATACAGGGAATAATGCTAGAGGCAAGAAAGAAAAAAGAAAGAGAGAAAGAAGAAAGGGAAGGAAGGGAGAGAAAATAAATTAAAATGCAAGAAAGGAAAAGAAAGAAGGAAGAGAGAGGGAATAAGGCATAATGCAAGAAAGAAAGAAAGAAAGAAAGAAAGAAAGAAAGAAAGAAAGAAGGGATGAAGTAAAGGAAAAGAGGGGGAATAAATTAAAATGAAAGAAAGAAAGAAAGAAAGAAAGAAAGAAAGAAAGAAAAGAAAGAAAGAAAGAAAGAAAAAGAAAGAAAGATGTAAAGGAAGATACAGGGAATAATGCAAGAGGCAAGAAAGAAAAAAGACAGAAAGAAAGAAGAAAGGAAAGGAAGGGAGACGAAAGACATTAAAATGAAAGAAAGAAAGAAAGAAAAAAGAAAGAAAGAAAGAAAGAAGTAAAGGAAGAGAGAGAGAATAAGAAAAAAAACTGCAAGCAAAAAGAAAGAAATGGAAGCCATCATACGACCACCAATCAATTAAGATGTGAAGCAATTAGAGGTCGGCCTTGTGTAGCATCGAGGATTAGCATGAAATACGGTTGGCCTAAAACATAATCAATTAAGATGAATTCTAATTCTAATTAATTAATATTTATTTATGGTAAATACTGAGTCTTTCATTAATATTATTGATGTCTTTTGGTATATCGTTTTCATAAAATTATTTACAACATTTCTCACCTGAGACACAAGAACATAAATGAACTTCGGACGTTATTGTAAAAGTGTGACCCAATCTGTGTAAAAATGAAATTTCTTAATATTCTATGTCATTTACAGCATTTGTCTTACTTTACTTCTTTCTTTCTTTCTTTCTTTCTTTCTTTCTTTTTTCTTTCTTTCATTTTAATTTATTCACCCTCTTTTCCTTTACTTCATCCATTCTTTCTTTCTTTCTTTCTTTCTTTCTTTCACTTTTCTTATTCCCTTTAATTACCTTTCTTTCTTTCCTTCTTTCACTTTCCTTATATTTACCTTTCTTTCTTACCCAGGACGTGGATGCAGTTTATTGTCACACCCAGGACGCTTACACAAGTTTGGAGCTTAACTATTTGCCCACAGCTGGGACCCTAACAGGTACTACCACCCCTAGGTCAGGGTGTATCTGGGAACACCAGCAATTAAGAGGTGGTTCCACACTCCTCAAAAACTCCTGATCACAGGCCTTGCTGTTGGGCGTAGTTTATCGTCTTACCCAGGACGCGGATGTAGTTTATCGTCATACCTAGGACAGCCAACAGTCAAAGAATTAAATTTCTGACCATGAAACACCAATGGTCACAAGATGTAACAAGGATGTAGCAAGGTCAAGTTTTATTCAGCAGGCTCATTTCAGGGAAAAGATGATAGGGTTGCTTCCTTTTGAAGATAAAAGGGCTAAGCGAAAAGAACACTGAAACAACTGGACTTGTGCCTAAATCATTTGAAACAAAAGAACAAGGACATATCAATGGGAGGTGTTCCATCATCATTGGTACCAAAAACTTCAAAGTCACCAGAAGGAAAAAGGAAGAAGTCAAATGACAAGAGACAAAGTTTCGATGACATTAACCACGTCCTCCATCCACATTACTATACAGCCAATGCCATTGTCTCTTTCATGCAAGAATTGGTCTACCTAGTCATAGTCTACCATAAAAGAAGCGACTGACAAGGAGGAAATTAAATTCTTGGATACAAGATAAAGCCGCTGCTGCTGATATATTAAGGGAGAAAATTTAACAGCACTAAGAATTTGAAATTTTTATAAAGAGAAATACATTGACATAGGCGATCATGGTCCTCCACATCTTCCTTTCCCTTGTAGCTTTTAAGAAGTTTTGTCTTTTTTTGTTATTTATCCCAAACCCTGTTTTACCAGCCATTTGCTCAAGCCCATCAAGTATATTACGCATTGCTTTCCTCTTTCCTTCAATCTGTCCTGTGAGTGTCAGATTCTCCGAGCCCACCTTCAATGCCGTAATTATTCAATACAAAACAAAAGGCTCATAAAAATCATAAATTTAACACCACTCGGGATTTGCAATTTATATGAAGAGGAGAAATACATTGATGTAGGCAATCACGTCTCTCCACATTTTCCTGTCCCTTGTTGGTCTTAATAAGTTTTGGCTTTTTATTATTTCTACCAAACCTTATTCTACCATCCATTGGCTCAAGGTCATCAAGTGACGCGCTGTTTTTCCTCTTTCCTTCAATCTGTCTTGTGAGTATCAGATTCTCCAAGCCCTCATTCAATGCCGTAATTATTCAATACAAAACAAAAGCCTCATAAAAATCATAAATTTAACAGCACTCATGATTTGCAATTAATATGAAGAGGTAAAACCCTAATTATTTCATATTTAATGGGGAACAAGAGGCTCATAAAATATTTAAAAATAGAAAAATTGCCCTTCCTGTCAAACCCAACGAATCAAAATATATTGTTCTACTCACAAACTCTATCATGATTTTAAACGAAAAGAATTCATGCCTAACACAACATTTTTTACAACATCTAAGAGAATTTCTTTCTTTTATGTGCCATGTCCTTTCAAAACATAGGTGATCATGGTCCTCCACATCTTCCTCTTCCTTGTAGTTCTTAATAAGTTTTGTCTTTTTTTGTTATTTCTCCCAAACCCTGTTTTACTCAAACTTGTCAAGTATGTTTTCTTCTGTCTCTCTTTCCCCTCAATCTGTCTTGTGAGTATCAGGTTCTCCAAGCCCTCCTTCCTCATGACGTGCACCAGAAATTTCAACTTCCTCTTCTTGATGTTAAGTAAATGTCAAATTCCATAATACTGTAATATTAAATACTAGCAGCCATACCCACCAAAAATAAAAGACAATCAGAAAAAGTGTTTAATTAGAATGGAGCAAAAACAGCATCAAGTTTAGATGTAACAGAGTCTTTTTATTTAATTACTTTAAAGTACTTTCATTAAAAAAACATTTTGAATTAATGAAGTTACTGATATAACAGAAGTAGTCTGTATTAATTCAATCGAAATTAGCCGAGGACATGAAGGGGTAAAACAGGCGACATGAAGACCCACTTCAGACCACAATTATTATTAATAATTGGGTTTGTCATATATGTAAAGTTGTGGTTCCAGGTAGGCTAATGTTTACCCAGACACCATAGACTACCTTACCTAATTCTATAATACCGTAATATTACATGCAAATGAGGTGTCGTATGCAGAATGTATGCTAATGTCATCCCTGATGTGAGAACATGATCTAATATTAAGTGAAAATGGAATGTAGTTTTTATATAACATCAGACATGGAATTTTGTGCACCAAAAATACATGTTTTTATTATTCTAATTTTAGGCAAATGAATCACAATGTTGAAATCATTCTATGTCACTGATTTCATCCTCTAGAAGGACTTCATTCCACTAAGCTTATCAAGTATGTTAAGTGTTGCTTTCCTCTGTCCCTCTTTCTCTCAATCTGTCCTGTGAGTATCAGGTTCTCCAAGCACTCCTTCTTCGTTTATGTGCCCCAGAAATTTCAGCTGCTTCTTCCTGATGTTAATTATAAGTTTCATCTTTGTTTACATTCTCTCCCAAACCTTGTTGTTGCTCACATGTTCGGCCCATGGTATCCTCAGCATCTTTCTGCAGAACCACATTTTTGTTGCTTCAAGTCCCTTCTTCATCTTTGAGTAGATTGTCCATTATTCACTGCCATAAAAAACAAAAAAAATAAAAGATTTAATTAATACAAAACAAAATAATGATAAGATAAAACCTAAAGGAGGAATTTATATGACCTATAATGATTGCTACAAGAAATACATAGATGAAACCTCAAGGAAATTTTTTTAATGATATTTCAGTTAATTCCCTTTAGTAACTCAATTCTTCAAGGTATTTTGTTCACCTCTGTTATGGCCAGGTACTGAACTCACAACTATTTGTGTTAAATCACTTTTGAATTACTTCAACGCTTTCATCCACTGAAAACAGATATTCAGAAAAGGCATGATACGTAGAACTAGAACATTCTACCTCTGTGGGCTAAATAAAGGGTTTGATTCAAAATTCCAACATATATCACCTGAAGAAGGCTGGAGCTTACAATGACCGAAACATCATGAATATAACAATAAAGATGAGGACAACAGTCCAAACAATGTAAATAGTGTAAATAGTTATGATACTTCATTTCAGAAATGTAGGCAGATCCTGAAGTAGGCCGTAGCGCACAATGGCCGAAACATCGGGAATGAGGCAATAAAGATGAGGACAACAGTCCGAACAATATAAATAGTGTAAATAGTTATGATACCTCATCTCAGAAATATAGACAGATCCTGAAGAAGGCCAGAGCGTACACTGACTGAAACATCAGGAATTTGGCAATAAAGATGAGGACAACAGTTCGAGCAATGTAAATAGTGTAAATAGTTATGATACCTCATCTCAGAAATATAAACAGAATTTTTTTTGTATTTTTTAGTTTGGGCTACGAAGGATCCCTTCAATGAGTCTATTGGAATATTTCCAATCAATCCAAAGGTTCCAACAGGAACTGGGATTATTGATGTTCACATGTGCAACATTTTTGACATTTTTAGTTCAAGATCCTAGTATTTTGATAGTTTTTATTTTTTAAAGATTTTCAAAAATATTGTCCTCATCTTTGTTGCCATATTTATTACAACGTTTCGGCCGTTGTACGCTCCGTCCTTCTTCAGGTGGTCGTAATGTCGAACTGAACCTTTATTTTGCTCACTTGGGTAGACTGCGCCTTGTGTCCTCAAGGACACATATCAAAGTGGATAAAGGTGTTAGATACATTGACAGGACCCAAAGAATATGAGTTCAATACTTGGTTAAGGCAGTAGAGAAAATGGAGGGGGTAATTACCAGGAGATAACTGATAACTGATATCCATTAGACATGGCACGTGGAAGTAGAAAAGTCTACCCCAGTGAGTGAAATAAAGATATAGACAGATACTGAAGGATCGGATAAATATGGCGACAAAGATGAGGACAATAGTCCGAATAATGTAAATAGTGTACATAATACCTCATCTCAAAATATAGACAGATACTGAAGGATCGGATAAATATGGCGACAAAGATGAGGACAATAGTCCGAATAATGTAAATAGTGACCTCATCTCAGAAATATATACAGATACTGAAGGATCGGATGAATATGGCAACAAAGATGAGGACAATAGTCCGAATAATGTAAATAATTGTACATAATACCTCATCTCAGAAATATATACAGATACTGAAGGATCGGATAAATATGGCAACAAAGATGAGGACAATAGTCCGAATAATGTAAATAGTGTACATAATACCTCATCTGAGAAATATAGACAGATACTGAAGGATCGGATAAATATGGTGTAAGATGAGGACAATAGTCCGAATAATGTAAATAGTGCATAATACCTCATCTCAGAAATAT